AATATAGCAAAGCTGCTCTCTGGCATTGAACACAGGAGCAGCAGAAGCATCAGACGCATCTGGACACACTTTACTGCACAGCTGACCTTAATATGGCTCAGAGATGAAGCAGCAGAAGCTCCTTTGCTTCTTCCAGCGCTTGCGGTCTGAACATAGTGTGTTTTTGACGCTCAAAATGCTTTTTGTGTGAACGTGGCTTTAGACTGCAGGACTTTCCTTCAAGACTGGGAATTACTGTTTTCCACTTTCGGCTACTTTAGATTGCCAAATAAAATGTAAAATAATAGCAAATATAGGTAATAAAATGTTTAGACCCCAGAAGAGATTTGATCTTATAAAACGGTTTGTACAACTAAAGTTGCCATATTGTAATGTCATCAGCAGGAGCAGGGCCCAGTGCAGATCTGGAACCTACAGATCTGCTCCGCTACTCTTTATGGCGACTGTAAGGCGTTTTTCACGTACCTTATCCAAACTGTGAACATATTCTGTCGGGAGGTTTCTACATTTTAAGTTAATTTAGGCGTTAATAAACTGTTTCAGAGGAGTGATCATAGCGCTCTGCATCAGCAGTGCTGTGTCTGACTCCCTGCCAGCTCCCAGATCAGCTTCTCTGATTGGTGAATGTGGCGCGTTCAGCAGCTAAAGTTACATTTTTCCTGCACCTCAAATGCTCAGCAAATCATGACGCACGGTTTCAGCTGCTCAGACGCACTGCGGGACCTTTTACGCACCTTGATGAGCGTCAACCATTGATTTTGCATGTAAACTAGCTTTTTTTGCTGCCTGTAGCGCCTGGGGTCCGAATGTAGCATTAAACGCTAAAATCTGGACGTTGGATCAAAATGTGGTCCAGTTGCTTTGCTGCTCAGCGCTCTGGTTGCTTATCTGCACTGTTCTGTAGCTTCCAGCTAGAGAACAGCTCAGCTTTATTTACTTTATGAGCTGGAAAAATAGTTTTTCACACGTTTTTAAGCGAAAAAGTCCACCTCCAAACATCCTCGGTTCATCAGTTCATCAGGAATATAACCCCACTATAATCTGCAGTTCTTGGGAGCGCCAGACCTGAAATCCCCGCTAAAAGCTCTCTGCTGCAGCCAGCCTGTGGGGGATTTCCTGCTGCCGTTCATAGCGGCTGGATGTGGATAGAAAGAGTTTTTAAGGTTTGTGGTAAAACCTGCAAGAACCAGGATATACAATCCCAATATTTTTCATCAGCAAATTTGAACATTTCTAGTTAATTTTGGTATTTATAAACTGTTACATCATAATTCATAAAAAAATGTTTTAGTGCAGCAATAATGATCAGAACTGCACTCTGTTCCTACTACATAACAATCCATTATTCCTGCTTTCTTTTCTTTTAAACCTTTGGTGTTTAACTTCTTGATATTTATTTATTTTTCATATGCAGAATGTCAGTGACAGCTGGGAGGTAGTGTCTGTCTCCCCCCAAAAACTCCTGGATCAGCTTCTCTGATTGGTTGATGCTCCGGCGTCCAGCGGCAAATGTAAAATTTACTGAGCTCCAGCGTCTGAAGCTATGACGCTCGGATGTCAGAACTCTTGCACGCTCCGCTCCCGATGCTTGAACGCACCACTGGACCTCTTGATACTGTCCCCCATAGATTTTGCATGAAAATCAGACACTATGGCTACGTTCACACAGCAGCCTGAAGTGACCTAAATTTTTCTTGCCCATATGCGACCTGTATCTGATGTTTTCATGGTTGTCTGAACAACTCAGATCCGATTTGTCCCAATGCGACCCAGGCCACAGGCCTCTGTGGTCCTGAATCCGATACGAATCTGATCTTTTCAAATGTGACCTGTGTCTGAATGGCCAGGTCGCATTCATCCGACTTTAAGATTGAGATTTAAGGTTGGGAAAGATCGCTAGATGCGCTCAAGGTCAGAAGTCATGGATTAGTGGACCGCGGTCCGGATCCGGACCCACCTGCTGGCTAATCTGGACCCAACCTGATTTACAACATTAGAAATTACTGCATGTTGTCTGACGACAGTGTCTAACTTCACTTGCACTGCTTCTCCTGTTAATACGGTAAAGCCCTCCGGAGCGTCCGGCTCCAGGCTACACATGATCCAAATTATCCAATGAGCTGCTGTCAGTCTGGGTTGCTGCTGCTGCTACTTTTAGACACAGCAGGCAAACCTGTGGCAAGCCGCGCGATGGGAAAGGAGAAGATTGTCTAAAAACGATAAGGATGGCTTGTAGTGAAGATGGAAACGACTCTGCCCACTGCATTTGTTTTGTTAAAACCCATAAACCAGTTCTGAAGCAGTGGCCGCTCTTTAGGTCTTTTTTTATTACCTATGCTGTTCCTTGTTTCTTATTTTACACTTTCATTTGTTTAATAGTTCATCAATTGATTAGTTATGATTAATAGCATGATTAAATAACAGAAACTCACTTTATATATCCTGAGCTATCCCTTTGATTTTTTGTTTTGTTTTAAAGTAATTTTTGTCCCTACGAGTGGGAAGCAACATAAATTCAAGTCTGGTTGTAATGAAAACAAGACGAAACATGACTGGTGGCAGGAATTTGATCGTTTGTTGCTGTACGTTCATCTTCCAGCTTGTTTGGATTCCTTCTGTCTTTTTCTCACCTCTGTCTTTGTTTTCTTTTCAAACCTTCCACAAAACCTTTACCTTCGTTGCCATTACTTCCCTGTCCTGCATCCTTCTCCAAGAAAACGTCATTGAGGTGACTCTGACCAAGGATGCGGACGGACTGGGATTTAGTTTCCTAATGTGTGAGCTGGACCCCCCCACCAAGGACTTCAGCAGCTTGGTCCGGATAAAGCAGCTCTTCCCTGGCCAGCCTGCAGAGCAATGTGGCCGAATCCAGGAGGGAGATGTCCTGTTAGCTATCAACGGCCACTCACTAAAGGAGCGGACCTATCCAGTATGTGACCAATTGAAATATGAATTTGTCATCAATAACCTCAATACAGTTGCTATGGTTATGAGTGTTATGAACTGGAGACTTTAAGATGATTATTTCAACTGTTTTATTTCCACGTTTTAGGAATCATGCAATAGATTTTAAGAAAATATGTATTTTAACATAAACTTAGTGCTCCACTTCCAGCTTTATTTTGGTCTCTAATCAGTAAAAGATCATAATTGTCAGTATAATGTCTTATGTTTAAATATATAAACTATAATCCATTTAATGAAGCTGGCATAATAGACCTTAAGGCCTGAATAGATTGGTTGCATCTTACTTTTTAATCTCCGATCTGATTTTTTTCCACGTCACTCTGACTGCATATAGAGGCTCCGACTAGGCAGGGTGAGCAGATCTGTGCAGATTATTTCCATTTCTGTCTCTGTTCTACACACATTAAAACTATTTCCCACATTTGACTGGCTTATGAGAGTTAAATAAAAACCACTGGTTCATTCTATAAAGCAAAGCTCTACTTAACGAGTCTGTGCAGCTTCTAGAATCAGAACAGATGGAGAATGTTCATCTATTAAAAACATAAAGAGAAACTGTGAGACGGTTTCTATGGTGACTGAGGCAGAGAGGTGATTCTCAGAGAGATCTGGGAAGTTTATCCAAGTTTTTCTTTCTTTTTTCCATAAAGAGGTGAGAGAGATACGCTGCGCTGACCTGCTGTCTGCTCCTCCTTATTCTGGTTTCTGTCAGGCTCAAAGAGGATCACTACACTGGAAAACCCATCTAGATATAAGAAAAAAAAATCTTAAAACAAGTGTATTTACCCTTAATTTGAGTAGATTAATGAGGTAGTTTGCCAATGGAATGAGTATTTTTACTCTTAAAATAAGATAATTAGATAAAATACACTTGAAATAAGACAATGCAATTGTGTTTTCTTATTTTGAGTGTAAATTGTCTTGTTCCTTTTTGCAAAATGTCTCTTTTACCTCCTCAATCCAAGAATAAATGCACTTATTTTAAGAGAAAATGACCTCTCTAGATTTTGATTATTTCCAGTGTACTTTATCCATTTTTAATGTTTCATTCATTGTTTTTGCTCCAGTCTGCCCTGCTTACTATAAACGCGATGTGCGACTCAAGACTGACTCTTTCTCCTTGAGATTAACAGATTTTATATTGTATTTTCCCTCAAAGCGGATGGATTTTACTTTGTAACCACGTCTCTCTTCCTGTGAGACCCATGAAATTGCTGCTGAATTGCTTCATAGCTCAGACTAAAATAGACCTGGGTTTTATCTCAGTCGGAGCTACGCTGCCCCTTGCAGGAAATCATCCCCATTGACTCTCGAGTGGTAAACGCCACAACCTCATTCAAGATGATTTCCTGTTTGATCAGATGCAAAATCATATTTGTTGTGTTCTGGACTTTAAGTTACTTGATTTGATTAAGTGCCTAAAATCAAAGGTTTTATGTCTCCACTCTGTCTATATGAACTTAAACGATTAAAGTGACTCGTTCCCTCTTTAAAAGCTTCTCTGTTTATGGTGTTCTTTGTTTGGTAGTTCTAAGGGTGATTCAAACAAATTTCCATTCTGTTTCCTCTTCTTATATTTAGAAATTGGTTTTTGAACCCACAGCGTTTATTACAGCGTTTTTCTTTTCTTTAGATTATTTTTTATTTAAGGTATGAGGGGATTTGTGGCCTAGTGCTTGGAATCCAAAGGTTCAGAGTTCAAGCCTCACTCCCATGGACTGCCACTCTGGATACCTGAGCAAGACCCTTAACCCCACGCTGCTCCCCAAGGGGATGGGTTAAATGCACAGGTTCCCCAGCTTGAGCTCAATAAAGTGCAATTTATTTACTACTTACATTCTCTATCTGTTCTGGTTCTAGATGCTGCACAGACTCGTTAAAGGCTGATTTATGCTCAGAAACCAGGTTTGCATGTGTGACGCAGTTAACGCAGATATGCCCCGCCCCTTCCACATACACCCTGCTGCATCTCTGAAATTGTAGGAGACCACAGACAGGAGACCTCTGATTGGTCGAATCTACATCTGCTCTATGCTATGTGTTTCCTGTTTGGTACCTTACCGGCTTGTTCTGTTTGTCTGACCGCCATTGTAGAAAATGACTCGTGAAGATGGACCAGCTAGAAGAGCGAGGTGTGTGAGAACGCTGGGACCCTTTTTCCACCTGGATCCCCGCTCTTTTTGGCCCTCATATCCCTCCGTTGTCGGACAAAAAGCCCCCACTTACTCAACGCCTCGGCCGTATCTAGACCCACAGCTAGTTCCTGATTGGCCCTATGGCGTTATGGCGTGGAATAACAGCTCAGACCAAGCTTCCAAATTGGGAATAAATCAAAAATATCTGTGACACACTACTGCAGGAGGATAACCAGACGTTTAGTGGGGCTTTCCTTTATGGAATGCACCGCTGATTTTTATTTAGTAACTTTTCATAATAAGTCAATGTGGGAAATTGTTTCAATGT